ATACATAAAAATTTTCAACCATCAACAAGAATTACATTAAAAGGGTTCAGAGCAATATTTATGTAAACAAATAACATAATCAAATCTACCGCGAAGATAGATGAACTCGCAATGGATTTTTCATCTTTATGGTGATGTCTATCTTCTCTGATAAATCAATATCTTCACCATCCACAGCACTCCATTCAAAATGCCAAATCAAATTTGCCACAAAATACTCTAAATGAAGAATAGCAAAACCAAGACCAGGACAAATCCTCCTCCCTGCACAAATGGCATCATTTAATCTCTCTACTTCCTCTTATATCAAAACTTTCTTCTCATGGCTAAACAGAAATCTCTCTGGCTTGAACTCCACAGCATCTTTCCACACATTCGGATCTCTTCCCATGTCCGCTATCAGAAGTTCACTGTTGTACTTTGGGTATAATAGCCACCCAATTCGGTATCTTCAGTCACCGCAAGCGGTGTCGCCGCCTGGTAAGTCGGCGGGTCACGTCTTAATCCTTCAAGAACCACTGCTTTCAAATAAGGCAACTTCTGCAAATCATCTTCTTTGATCCATTTTCGTCCTTGTTCAACAACACCTCTCATTTCAGCCAAAATTTTTCTTGAATTCGTGGGTACTTGACCACATTTGCCATGATCCATGCATGTTGTTGTCGTTTTATCAGTTCCAGCACTGATATTCATCGCTTAAAGATACTATGTCGCCTTCTTCAAACTTCTTGTTCTCATCTGGAACTTGTAATTCCATAGGTTCAACGTATGACACAAACTGATCTATGTTTTCTCCCTTATTTTCACCTTGTTCATTTTCTCTGGCTCTAATCAAGGACAAAAACATATCTTCGATCTTTAAGCATATTTACAAACTCATTCCATCGATTTCTAAATAAGATCTTCCCCAAATTTGGCATGATAAGAAACACTTTTACTTTAGGAAAACAGGTTAAAATTTATTTTGTGAGCATTCAAGCTCCCTAATTGTATTCTCATCAGATTATCCCCGAAACACATGAGAACTAACAAAGAAAAAATTGTACGTAATGATCAACTACTGGATGCCTCCGCCGTGTTCAGAATCCTGTTTAAGGCGATGAATTAAATTGTCCAAGACACGTTTACGGATATGAAAGCAGGATATAGACGAGAAGGGTGGAGAACTCCTGATGTACCTGTAGTTTCGGCGGAGGGAGCGCCAAGTTGCACCATAGGGGAAGAGGCTTACGCCTTTACGTTTGTTTGGAAAGATTCGATCGGCAAATGTGGTTTTTGGGCGGTCTGCGAAGATGGCACCATTTAGAACATGTGCTTGGTAAGCGAGAGTGTTGTTGGTGATGAAAATGGTGGGTTCGGAGCCAATTTTTATCGTGATGATCGGACCGACCTTTTGCGAAGATCAGAGACTATTTTTCCATGCTCAAAGAAGGTTTTCGATGCCATAAGAAGTTGGCAATGAGGTGAAGAGTGGGATCCTGGTGGGCTTTCTGGTATTTCTAGTTTTTGAGGAGAAGAGAAGACGGAAAATGAAGCTAATTAGAAACAAACGCAGAGAGAGATTAGGATAACAATACAAGTCTGCAAATCCTGGGACAATCAAGCTTGTAATTAAGGACAATGCTAAGTATGTTTTGAAACCTGATATATAAAGAGCTTCCGGACGAATGTTCAATTAGCCTCATTGACGTATTCATGTTTAATGTTTTGTTAGTATGTATTGGTTGCTACGTTAAATACTATGATTCTTTGCCGGCTATTGAGGTATCTATGAATATATATAAACAACAAGATAAACTTACAGGAATTTTGTATTTCATTAGTCATTATATTGTAATTTATGTGCTAATTAAAAAGAAATCTCTTTCAACATGAATCATTTTTTTATTTATGTAGGACCAATCAAGACGTTCTTCTAATTAAGTGAACCATTTGCAATACCCAAAAAACATAAAATATAAACAATGGTGATCATTTACTAGTGTATATGGTCTCCATTCCTGATAATAAAAGTATAACTGACTCTCTTTCCCCTTCATTTATTCGGTACCAAAACTCTCATTTATTCTTTTCTCACGGTAGGAAATCTTGAATAACTCTTTAAACATTAATAAAGCCCTGATGCCTTGAATGTCATCTCCATGCAAACCCTTTGTCACTCCAGCAGAAATAGAAGGGAACATGATAGCCCCTCAACTGAACTATGCCCAAGTCCAAGAGATGCCCAATTTCATGCAATGCAACAGTCTCCAAGTCGAATGCACCTTGTGTCGCACCCACAGACCATCTCTCATCCGCATCATAATGACCTGCCGTCGTGCGGCAAAACATGAGCTATGACTCCACCCTGCCCATCAAAAGACTACCATCTCCGTGTTTCCACTGTGGAAACTGATCGTAATATCTGCGCTTCCGATGTCCTGAGTCCGTGAGAATCTGAAGTGTTGTTTCCAGCCCATGTTGTGAAAGCTTAGAGAACAGGGTTCATGGCATCCGCAGGGGTCCCTGCAAGGAATGCATAGGTGAGATGGTACTTGTTGCTGGCCACTTAGGGTTTCCGGGGAAATTCATAGTGAGCGCATTATGAAATGGCTAGAGGCATTTTGCCTTTTGTGGCCAACCGCATCCGAGTATTACCATTGACAACTCTGCCATTCCACATCGAGGCATTGTCATTTTGGATACGTTTTGGCATCCAAAACTCCAGTTGCCTTCAGATGGTAATTAAGCTGGTAGGTTTTGATAGCTGATTCTAATGCTCTCAAAGTCATCATCATTCGAATGCTTTAGATTCTGGAAACTATAGTTCAAGTACCAAACTTTTCAAGGTATTTTTTGAGCTCATTGGTGCCTTTAACTTTGTCGCCTTTATGCCACCTTGGAGATGGTTGTGAACTCAAATGGTGATTGTTTTTCGTCATTGTGTTGTCTGCTAAAACTGAATGTAGAGGAGAGAAAGGAGAGATTACAAATAAGAAGAGGAGAAAGCTTTAGACGCCATTGCTAAAATCAATTAACTTGGTAGAGAATGTTAATTGGCTGTGCTTGTATCTAACAATTCTTTTTTTTTCTCTATTTATAGAGTTCTTCTGAGATCATTCGTCTCCCAAGTTGAGTGAGACGGTCTATACACGGTAGCATGACTTTTACCATCAATGATACTTAGTCTTTTCGATGTGAACAAGCTATCAAATTATGCAATGTTTACACTATCAACGAAGATGCCTAGCAGACCACAATTACGTTCATATACAACATATATGACCTGACTTAATTTCCAGCCACAAATTACAAAAAAACAAGACTTGAACTCTATGACAAAGTCTCCATTATCAGAGAAAGACCCTCTAACCGGCAGGAGAAGTTGCTCCTCATTTCATTTCATAAAAATTCTTACATGTAGATTTGATTTCACATTATGAGAATTCGTAGTAAATCTAATCAAACTGAAAGTTTAGCACAGCTTCTAGTGAAGACATTTGCATGATCGGTGGAGAGAAATATCCTCTCTCTGGTAGACTACATGGTAAAGGTCTGGCTGCTTTGTCGAACTTGCTTTGCTTTTGGAATGATGCTAAGCTAACTACAAAAGAGTAGTAGTCCTGTCTTCATTAATTTGTTCTAATTAATTTACTTGACTATAATATTCAACTGATCAAGCTAGAGATGACTGGTCCAAGTCCAGTCTTCATTAATTTTTTCAACGTTAATTTAGTTAACTATAATATTCAACTGATCAAGCTAGAGATGACTGGTCCAAGTTCAAAGAAAGGTTTTCGATGTCATAAGAAATTTGCAATAAGTTGAAAAGTGTAAGAGGTCCTGGTGGGAGCTTTTCGGTATTGCGGGACTTTGAGAAGACAAGACTGAAAATGAAACTGTTATGCCTGGAAAAGTAGGGCTGACGTAGAGCCTTGTTAACGTAAGCGGTCAGGGCTTAGGTAAGTCCTGCAGCTATTCAGACGCAACCACGTCGCACGCTGACGCAAGCAGTATGCTCTTGCCAGTGCAGTGGGTGTGTGCCAGGCTGGTAAAAGGCTGGAGAAGATCCACGTGTCCAATCCCTTTAAGAGTCGAGTAAATCACTCGAGCATGTGAGCAACGGGACACAAGGAAGGATTTGTATGACAATCTGACACACTCCCTAATTTAATAATCATTACCTCAATTCATCTTACTATAAATAGAGGGATCCTCTCCCGTTTGTGGGATTAACTAATTTCTCTCTGGAATAACATATAGACATACTCTCTCTCTCTCTTGTAATATCTTGTAAGTCAGCTCGCTGAACGCGAGCTGACCTGATATAGTAATACGATACCAATTGATGTAGGATTCGCTTACTTAAGCATTCGAACCACTTTAAACATTGTTCTTCTTCTTCTATTCAACTCAATACCCCCATACACATGTGTCTTCTGAGTCAGCTCAGCATTTCCCACGTACATTTAGTTGGTATCAAAATCACGCATCAACAGAACTGATTAGTAGACAAATGCAGAGAAAGATGAAGATGATGATACAAGTCGATCTGCATTTCCATGGGAGAATTAATTAAGCTTCTAATGATAAATTCAACCCATGTTTGTTAACTATCAAATCTATTTAGGAAAAATACAATTTTGAGTCCGCGATATCATCGATTACAAGGGTCACCTTTGGTTAACGTTATGCCCGAAAGAGTGTATATATATAGTACTTTGTCTTCAAACAAGAGCATATGTATCTGAGATTCTTATCAGAATTCACAAATTAAGTGTATTTTTGTGAATATAATATCTACATAATTATGTTATATGGATTATTATATCGCCTCATTTGGAGTAAAAAAGAAAGTTCTTTTAATTAATCAAACATTTCATTGAACTATGTTGCCGTCAAAATGCTACTAGCTTTGCTTATGGACAACTGAAACAAACAACCTAAAACAAATTCTGAATTCTGAAGGAGCCTCTAGAGCTATTTCATTATTCACGATTGCAAAATTGAGATACAACTAATTGTTTTAAAAGGAGAAATTCATATATATATATATGTTCGGACAATTGAGCTAGTTCATCGTGTGTTTGAACTAGTTTATCTGATCGCAAAATATATAGAAATCAAACAACAATAAAAAGCAAACAAAAACAAAAACAGAGCTTCTGTGTTTCCTCTGCATTTATTCTGGTACCGTAATCTCAGTTATTCTTTTCACTTAAAAGTGAAGTTCCAGTACTCTTCAAGCATTATATAAAGTCCTTATGCCTTGAATGTCATCAGCATGCAAGCCCTTTGTTCTTCCTTGAGTAATGGAAGGGTACATGATAGCCCCTTCAACTGAGCTATGCATAAGTCCAAGAAGATGCCCAATTTCATGCAATGCAACAGTCTCCAAGTGAAATGAGCCTTGGGTTGCAGCCACAGACCATGTCTCATCTGCATCGTAATGGAACCTTCCGTCCATTGGGGCATAAGCATGAGCAAGAGTTCCGCCAGGACCATCAAAGGGGTGACCATCTCTATGATCACCGCTGTGGAAACTAACAGTGATATCGGCATTTCTATCGTCCTGAGTCTCTGTGAATTTGAAATGTGTATTTCCAGCCCATGTCGTGAAAGCTCTAGCAACAGGGTTCATGGCATCAGCTCGAGTCCCTGGAAGAAAGGCATAGGTGAGATGGTACTTGTTTGCTAGCCACTTAGGGTTTCCGGGGAAAAATGAATAGTGAGCGACATTATGGAAATGGCTGGAGGCATTGTGGTGTCTTTTGTGGCCAGACCGCATCCGAGTTGCGCCATTAATAATATCTGCTACTCCACATCGAGGCATTGTCATCTTTGAAACAGTTTTGGCATCCAAAACTCCAGTGGCTTTAAGATGATAATTTTTCTGGTAGGTTTTGATGGCAGACTCTAAGAGATCATCAAAATCATCATCATTGGCATGTGTTTGATTTTTGGAGTTTTTATAGTTCAAGTAACCGAAATTTTCGAGATACTTTTTGAGGTTATGGATGCCTTTAACCTTTTCACCTTTGTGACAACCTTTGAGATGGTTGATGAACTGAAATGGTGATTGGATCCTTTTGTCAATGGGGTCTGCTAAAACTGAATTAGCGAAGAGTGAAAGGAGGACTGCAAAGAGGGTGAAAGAGAGGAGGGGAAAAGCTTTAGATGCCATTGCTAATCGATTCACCAATTAACTGGAGAAGCTCTTGTTAGTTGTTAATTGCTTGCGCTGTATGACATGTTTAGATGGGTATTTATATATTTCTTACGAGAGAAGGATAGTGATAACGCTAATGGGGACGATATTGCTCAATGTTTTTTGAAGTTGAGTGTATCGTTGCATGCACGTTACTCAGTTGCACGACTTGTACTTTTCTAGGTCTTTAGACCGGAGATTATTTTGTAAAATGAATTGAAGACTTTGAAGAAACTAAAAGACAATTATATATTAGTGAGTTTATTACAACTTTCCCCCAAAGGTATATGAAATAACAATTTACCCCTTAGGTCACTATTCCAAGGGTGAAATCGAGTCGAGTTGACTCAAGTATCTAATTAATCGAATTCGACTCAAGTGTTACAGTACCAAATTCAAGTTCGAGAATAAGAAATCAAGTTCGAACTCGAACGTGGTACCGGAAATTGGAATTCGAGTTCGTATAATCAAGTTTTATTCGAGTTCCATTATTCGAGTTTGAAAATACGAGCTTCAATCAAATTCAAGTATTTCGAACCTTAATCGAATTCAAGTATTTGAATTTTAATCGAGTTTGAGTCTTATTATGATCAAACTTGACTCGAATGACTATTCAAACCATTCGAACTCCATTCGACTAATACCGAGTCAAGTTTGACCCAAAATCGAGTTGCTCGCACAGCTCGGCTTGGTTTTCATTCCTAAATTTTCATTAGTGTTTTCTTCATCTGACTAGTACATTTTATATAAAATTAAACAGTAAAACGAATGGAATACTAAGAGAGAGGGTATATTGTTATTTCTGATACCTATCTTAGGGGGTAAATTATAACTAAGTCTATATTAGTTTCAATAAATAAAGTAAAATGCATGCAAGGAACAAAAAGTAATCAAAATGAAGGAAGATGCGTAGCAGGGCAATATACAGTAGACTCTACTTAAATTCCACAGATGTAAACAAGAGGAGTAGACGACGACTCAAATTGCACCCACAAAAGAAGAATCTGCTAAAATTCGACAGATTGAAACAAGAGGAGAAGACAACTCAAATCGCACCCACAAAAGAGTCGGTGGAATGAGACCAAATCAAAGGGCCAATAATCAATTCCTAAATTGACAAACAGATGTAAACAGGGCGACTCAAAGTCAGTCCTCTTGCCTGCGACCAAAGTTACTTGAATATTTCATTATCATATGACTTCTTACATTACATTTATATTAATTAGACTTCAATATGTGTTCCGAGTTGAATAATCGGAACGCTTTACTAAGTTATTTGCATCTTTTGTTGAGACAATATGGTTCCCTGTATATTGTAATTCATTACGTCAACCAATCAAGTTAATTAATTTTAAAATACAACATAGCTAGCTAATTGAGTTTTATTGCCAAACTATGATTTTCTATTTTAATAATTCAGAAATTCTCCATACTTGTTTTCTAAATTCGAGTCTGAAACTGGAACGTCCGTCAAACCCTATCATCATTTGAAAATGGTTGAATATGACTTTTTATTTTCCAAGACTTGAACCCCATACATCGTGGGATATTTCTAAGAGCAGTTTGATTAAGGGTACGTGAGATTACTGAGGTTAAGCATCTTATATTATTTGATTACCATGTTTTGTTTGTCAAGTATATATGATTCTGATAATCTTCAAACATCAATAGTGTATTGGTAAATTTGGAGGTAATCTGATTACCTCTATTTCTTAGGTTTTAAGATTATTTGGGTAATCGTTTTTTTTTCTTTTTTTTTTTTTTTTTTTTTTACAATTCTATCTCTTATTAATAAAATTTTAGGATAACAATGACCTTATTTTTAAATTTATTTACATGAATCTTGCTTTTACCATTTCACCCCATTTAATTAATTTTTTGGACAAAATTACCTTTGAAATCAAAATAAATTTCAGCTTACCCAAGCCACCACCCCCACCCACTTGCTGCCGCCAGCCAAACCATCGTCGACCGTCGCGGGAAGTCGTCGGAAGTCACCTGGAGTTGTTGTCAGTAGCCCACTATGACCGGGAGACCTCGATATGGCCGTTTTCGGCCATATTAATGGCTGAAAAGGCCATATCGAGAGCAGATATGGTAAAAAATGGCTAGATCTATTCTGACCATTTCTGGCCAGATTGATGGGTCTGGCCGTTAACAGCCAGATCTAGCCTGATATGGTCGTTTTCGGCCATCAATATGGCTAGAAACCGCCACAACAAAGCCTCATGGTCACGATGAGCTACTCACGGTGACTTTCGGAGACTTTCGACTGGGTGATTTTGTCATAAATTAAAGTTTTATATAAGTGGAGGTGTTTTAGCTAAATCTGAAATATTGGAGGTTAAAAAAACTATTCAAAAATTAATAATAAAAATAATATTATATTAATATTTAAAAAGAGGGTAATTTAGTAATTTAAATAACATACCCACCAATTTATTCTCTTTAACCAAACATATTAATATAACATACCCACCAACTAACCAAACACATTTTCCTAAAGATTTTCAGTAATCTTCAAGGTAATATAAGATTTCAGTAATCCAACATTCCCAGTAATCCAACATTCCCTGAATCAAACGTCTCCTAAATGTTAATTTAAAAAGATTATCATCCATGAAGAAAGAATGTGAAACTATTCTCAAAATTTCCTAGCTTGAGCAAACATATTTTAATTGATCAAGTACACTTACTGGGTTTATATTTATTTATCTTAATCGTTTTGACTACGGATCTTAGTAAATGTAGATAATTTGTTGAAATCAAACCCAAAACACACAACAATGAAAATAGATTAGTAACAAAAATAGTCAATTTACACTGGTTCATTCCCAATGCAAAAATTACGTCTAGTATTTAAATAGAGTAGTTTTATTGAGTTTCAGAAATCTGCAGACTACAATAATAAAAAGTATTGATAATTCACTCTCTTTCTCTATTTTTAATATTTTTCACATTAAGTTTTTCAGTATTATGCTGGAGTAATAATAAACCTAATCACAGTTAGGCCAAACTGATATTGGCCCAAATATGAACCACACCCTACATAATTGTGGCCTTAAGCAACCAATATATGATCCATTATTGCACAGGTTTGGCATTTCTTCACGTTATTTTATTTTCATGTATTGGATAAATCGCAAACTACAATGGATTTGTTGACTTTAATTACAAAACTATGTCTCTATCTTCTTATATATATAAGTTTTGGTAGAAAGGCCTCTTCACCAAAACTTCCAATTCCTTCTTTAATTATCTCTCTTACGTTTATATTATATATAAAGTATCAATGCCAATTTTATAATATCTTCTCTATTATTTAAAGTGAAATGCATGACTTTTTTTCTATCTTAATCTTCAAGAATTTAAATATTAGGGAAAACAAAATAATAAGTTTTATATACATCCATATAAAAACAAAAAATAACTACTATATTTTTTTTTTTTTTTTTTTTTGGTAACCGAGAGGTCCAGGCCAGCTTGTGAGTACTTTAACTAATTTTCAAGGTCCATTAAACATCATATAAGCTCAAAGGACCAGGTAAACTACAATTTTATTGTAGTAGATGACCTCAAAGTTTGAACTCAAGAAAGAGAGCAAACGTGACCGTCAGACCAATCCTTTGGGCTGGGTTAACAAAAAATAACTATTATTAACGACAAAAAATTGAAAAATACAAATAACTTTCTCCTTTCGCGGTTTAGCCTATCCATTGAAGGATGATAAATTAATCAATAAATCAATAAATGTCTTCAAACAATATTATACAAAGTCCTGATCCCTTGAATATCGTCTCCATGCAAACCCTTTGCTCTTCCAGGAGAGAAAGTAGGGGCCATGATAGCATCCTCAACTGAGCTATGATGGAGTCCAAGAAGATGACCAATTTCATGCAAAGCAAGAGTCTCCAAGTCAAATGCCCCAGGTGTTGCCCCCACTGACCAATTCTCGTCTGAATCATAATGAAACCTCCCATCCGTCGGGGCATATGCATGAGCAAGAATTCCACCGGGACCATCAAAAGGATAACCATCTCCATGATCACCACTTTCAAAACTAATCGTAATATCTGCTTTACTGATGTTCCTAGTCCAAGAGAATGTGAAATGTGTGTTTGCAGCCCATGTTGCAAAAGCTCGCCTAACAGGTTTCACGGCATCAACTCGGATCCCCGGAAGAAAGGCATACGTGAGATGATACTTCGTTGATGGCCACTTGGGGTCCTTCAAAAAATGAGAAATGAGATACTGTATGGAAGTGGGTAGAGCCATGGTGGTCCACCGTTTTCTTGCCGGACAGCATTCTGGTAGTACCATTGACAATATCCGCCATTGCACATCGAGACATACTCATTTTGGACACAGTTTTGGTATCCAAAACTCCAGTAACGTTTAGATGGTAATTAAGCTGATAGGTTTTGAGAGCAGATTCTAGTATCTCATCAAAATCATCATCGTCCGAGTGCGTTTGATTTGCAGAAGTCTTAAAGTTCAAGTAACCAAATTTTTCCAGATACTTCTTGAGCTCATGGACACCTTTGACCTTTTCACCTTTGTGACAACCTTGGAGATGGTTGAGGAACTCAAATGGTGAATGCTTTTTCTCATGGGAATCTGCGAAAGCTGAATGAGAGAGGAGAGAAAGGAGGATAAGGAAGGAAACTGAGAAGAGGCTAATAGCTTTTGACGCCATTGTTGAAAATTATTGATCAACCAGAGAAAAGCTCTTGTTAATTGTTTTTGTTGTATCCCAAGTTTCATTGCCTTTATATATAGAGAGAGAACTCCTATAAAGTGCATCGATGAAGTGAAAATTTCATTTGAGTAGCTTGTTACACGGTAGTGTAGCAGGACTAGTTTTACTTCGTCTTTGGGGACTTTAACAACTTAGGAACAATTATATATATTGGAAATATTAATGTTTGGCGGCCACTGGTATATTTCTTCTTTTTTTATATTAAAAGAGTTTGACCTAGATGCCATAGCATTGAAGAATGAGTCCAAGCAAAAGTTGAAGA